TGGTGACAGAGAAGGAAAAGATTTAGCACAAATTTAGCTTTGTTTTGATAGAGTTGTGCAAATCCCACACCTGAATCTAGCCACCATTTGAGTCTAAAGAGACAGCTTCTAATGGGTCCCAACAAGACATCCAGTGGTTCCCAGGAGCATGGCAATTGGTGCTTCTTTAATACCCTGCTTTGTTCAGTGGTCCTTGTACATACTCCCTTAAGACCTCTATCAATCTCCAATTAAATCTCTTCCTTGTGAAATTTTGCTGCTCGGGTAGAACACCTGATATGGTCATTTGCCACAGGCTTTGTCCATCATTTCATTCAGCATGTTATGACCCCATCATTTCAATTAGAAACAGTGGGCCAACTGCAGACTACCTCTTTATATTATTTAGAGTGTGCACTTCAAACCTTTATGTTTGGAAATGGGACAAGGCTCAGAGATGAGAATTGGGGATAAGGTGAGTGAATAGGTTTCAAACATTACTTGGTAATAAACAAAGAATAATAACATTTTTAGATCATATGTAAAAGTTCCACATCAAGAAACTACTTCAAAACATCATGAAAGGGGATAGCAACATGGGTCAGTGGGTAAAGGTACTTGCCACCAAGTCTGATGATCTGAGTTTGATTCCTGGGACTCACATGATGGAAGCAGAGACCTGACCTCCTCTGACTTCCATATGTGTACTATGGCATGAGAATCCTGCCCCACACAAATAAATGTAATGTAAGAAAATTCAAAACCATGAAACCTACAGCAATTTTTTAATGTACATATACAGATATAATTTTTCTATGTGATATTTTTAGTTGTGTATATGTTTCTCTTTTTCAGTGCTGGACATTAAAATCTATGTCTCACAAATGCTGTGGAAGTGCCCTATCACTGAACTACCTCCCCAGCCCTTAATATAGACATTATTCCCCTTGTTGAGTTCTTAGACAACAGCAAACATCTATTATAGTTTGGTTTAAGTTCCTTGTCAAGGAATTGACAAGGTAAGTTTATCAGTCAGGATAAAAACAGAGAAACAAAGACTGGCAATTTGTTACAGCGATTTAACCTTATATAACTGTGTGTGCTGTTTAAGCAGTTTCTGCATGGCTGTTTCTTCCTGTCTGAGAGACTGGAGCACACAGGAAAGGCACTTGGGAATAGGAAAGGTCCATGAAGTGGGAGAGCCAGGCAGGCGGTCACAGAGCAGACTGAAACCTTTATCAGGCCTTGTTGACTCTGGCTTCATCAGTGGTGTGCTTCCATTTGTTCTTTAGTAGAGCAGAACGCCACTTGGCCAGTGTGACAGGGATGCCGATGGTAGCTCTGGGACACAGTGAGGTACTTACCAGCCCATAAGAGATGAACTACAAAAATGTCTGCTGCTCCAATTTTGCCTCAAAATCTGCCAAAAGAGGTGGTTCAGTTGGTAAAATACTTGCTTTGAAAGCATGAGGACTTGATTTCAGATCCCAGACACCTATGTAAGAAGCCAGACACAGCAGTACATGTGTATAATCCCAGGGCTGGGAGGCAGGGACAGTAGTATCATTGTGACTTATTGGCTAACCAGTCTAGCTAAATTGGTGAGCTCCATTTTCAATGAGAGATCTTGTCTCGGAAAGTAAGGTTGAAAGGGCTAGAGAAATGGCTCCGTGGTTAAGAGCACTGACTGCTCTTGCAGAGGAGCTGGGCTCAGTTCCCAGCACCCACATGGCAGTTCAGCTGTCCATAACTCTAGTTCTTGGAGATCCAGTGCCCTTTTCTGGCCTCCATGAACATTGCACACTCCGGTGTACTTATATGCATGTAGGCAAAACACTCATACACATGCAATAAAAAAACATTTTTTTTTTAAGGTTGAGGAGCTAGAGAGATAGCTCAATTGGTAAACTGCATGCAGATCTCCAGAATTCATGCAGCAGGCATCTGTAATTCCAGCATGCTTATGGTGAAATGGGAGGTGGAGGCAAAAGAATGCCTGGCAGTTAGTTTACAGGCCAGCTCACCTGGCAGATGCAATTGAGAGCAACAAGAGATCTTGCCTCAAACAAGAATGAAGGTCTGACACCCAAAGTCTTTTCCCATGATCTCCACATGCATATCTAGGCATTTGAGCCTGTGCTCAAACACATACACAAACATTTGCAAACAAGCTCATGTATAAACACACTCTCACACACATACACTCACACATCATAGGCACTCACATATATACATGAAATAAAAAACATAAGACAGAGAGCAATTGCAATAGACCCCTGACATCAAACTCCAGTTGCTTGTGGAACACACACATACACAAAATCCACTTGGGCCCACCCTAGCCACAGTCCTTCAGGGAAGGGAATTTTAAAACAATGTTGTTCAACCTCTGGTGGAATACATGAGGTCCAGTGGGGGGATGGAAAAGGTATGGGTTGGAGAGGGGGGGTCTAAATTTGATTAAGAACCGTTATATGAAATTACAAAAGATTTTTTTTAAAAGCCCCAAACTCCCCAAAGCAGTAAGTTCTCAACCAAGATTTACCATGTGAAAGAATGAGTAGATGAAAAGTTCGAGACTCAGGTTCTTATATCAAACACAAAAATCAGCCTAACTTATAATGAGGTTGTTTCAAAGTATTTTTAAAAGAAAAATAACTTCAGACTTAGGTAAAGGGATGAGAATTTTTACTTAAATGATTTTTGCAAAGCAGGAGGAAGGGATGATTGCAATATAGACTTCTCAGACCATAAGATCCACAAACATCTGAAAGATTTTCTTTTAGGCAATGAAGAAAGCAAGCCTATGGCAAGTCTCCATAACAAGGAGGATGTTTCTTTGGGGAGCGTTGGCTCAGGCTCAGAGTGGGTCAAAGTTTAGAGTCATGTGATGAGGGCAAAATGAACTGCAGTTTGGTCAAGTTGGCTAACACAAACTTTGATCTTATAGATCCACTAGGGTGAGCAGTTTAACTGTTTACTAGAAAGTAACTGAACCAGGGAGAACTTGATGCAGGGACGTGGTGTAAAGAGCTGTGTCAGTCCCTGATCAGAAAACATTTCACCCTGAATTCAACCTGTTCTTGGTGGAAGCTCTGGAGGGCAGGGGTGCTGTATGTTGAGTCAAGGGAAGAAGAGAGAAATCATCCGTTGTGCTAACAATTGTTTGCTGATTAATGAGCATCGATAGATTAGCTCATCCCTTATGAAACAAAGAATGGGGCTTTGTAAAGTTTGTGTTTGGCTTTGTCCTACTGAACAAGAAGGGCACCTGGCAGTCCCAACTAAGATGGGGAAGGATGGGCCTTTTCAGTGGGCTACTTACCAAGGACAAATTGGACTGGAAGGATTTCTTTAACCACTGTTTTTGTTGGCTTATAGGGCTTAGGTAAAATTCAGCAGAAAAGATAGGCAATTACTTATAAAGTGAAACATATACCATGTAACTCTGGAAATATATTGGAAGGAAATAAAAACATAGTCACACAAACATGTACATTCAGGCTTATAACAATTTTATTAATAACCACCCCCAAACTATAAACAAACCGAGTGCCTACAAGCAGATTAAAGAATACAGAGCCTAATACCTGTATACAATAGAATACTATTGAAATGCTGATACATGCCTGCAATAGAATTACTATTCAGTAACAAAAGAGAAATGTACTGTTGAAAATACACAACTTGGATTCGAGGAATAAAAGAAACCAGTGTTAAAAATACAATTTTTTGGAAACAGGTTCTTCCTACACCTGGCCCGGAACTCAATATGTAGACCAGACTGGCCTTGATCTCACAGAGATGTGCCTGCAACTGCCTCCTGAGTACTGAGATTAATGGTATGTACCACCATATCTGACTCAAAATTACATTTTAATATATTATGTATTAAATATACAGCACAATTCCAGTATATATTTCATATATATGCATATATTAAATAATTCCATTTAATTGACATTTTGTTGAAGGAAAATTATAGGGTTAGAAAACAAGTGGCAATTTTCTTAGGACAGGGAGTCAGAGAAAGAGATTGGTGGCAAAGGGACAGAAAGGAAATTCTTGGGAGTGTGGAAATGGTCTATATGGTGCTAGTTGCATAAATATATACAGTGATCATAATGCATGAAATTGTTCATTGAAATTTGGTGAAGTGGAACCATAAAGATACAAAGAATCTGGAAAGCTTTTATATACTATGTCACTAATCCCTCTAAATAGAGAATATATGGGGAAAGTTTAAAGAACATCATCTATCTATCTATCATCTATCTATCATCTGTAAAATTCAAATATCCTAACACATTATGAACTTTGGTAACATCACATGATATCATTTTTATAACCCCAGTATAAGAACTCAGAGGAAAAGCTTTAAATTTTCTTTTGTTGCTAATATTAAGAAAAGATATGTTTTCCTTAGGTAATAATGTTAGCAATAGATAAGCTCACACATATTGAGTAAGCACAGAACTTACTCTACTATAGGCTTACTTTGCTACAGGCTTACAGGCTGCTGGCATCTCATTTACCACATGCCATTACCCACCCACAATGTAATCCTTTTCAGTTTGTTCTAACTCCACAGGTATTTGTGCAGAAGAAAAGGACTCAATGGATTACCTGGTGTGTATGCATGTGTGGATGTGTGTTTGTGTGTGCATATGTATATGCAGTTTGTTTATATGCATATGTGTATGTGTGTGTGTGCATATGTGTTTGTGTGAGGGAGTAGCTTAGTGATAGACTGCTTGACTTGCTTGCATGAAACCCTGGGTTCTATTCCCAGTATCACAAAAATAAATTCATTAAATAGTGAATTAAAAATAAAAAGGGCTGAAGAGATGGCTCAATTGCTAAGAGCACTTATTGCTCTCCCAGAGGACCTTAGTTCAGTCCCAAGCACTCACATAGGGAAGCTCATAGTCACCTGTAACTACAGCTCCAGAGGATGTGATGTCTCCTTCTGGCTTCTGAGGGCACTTGCATGCATGTGCACAGACTCCTACACAGACACACAGATACACACAGACACACAGTTTAAAATAAAATACATTGCTAAAAATAAGAAGAGTGATGGAAATCAAGATCACGGAGTGCTTACTGTGTTTCAACTCCTTACATTCATCAACTCAGTTGTCTCACCTTGTCTGTGAAATACCTGTTGCGGTCACTGCCATTTACAAAAGAGGAAACCAAAGCCACGAGGAGCCAAATCACTTGCTCAGTCTCATATGGCTTCTAAAGGATAGAAGCAGACTGGTCACAGATGGGAACTTAATCTCAAAGGATGCCCAGGGCTGGGGATGTATCTCTGTGCAAGACCACTTGCCAACATCTATAAGGTTCTAGGTTCAATCCCCATTACTATCAAACAAAATAACAAAAAAAAATCTATCAAAAGATGTCCATACATGCTCAGAGAATAGATTTGTTAATCTGACGCATCCTGTTGCTGGAATTGCAGATGTTATAAAAAATAGAAATGAAACTTCAGAAATACTTTTTAAAGTTTTAAAAATGATGTTTAATGTCATTTCAGACACAGGCACTTGTCCTTTCTCGGACTTAGTGAGATGTTGCATGTAAAGGCCACCAACACTGCAGCACTGAAGCTGCTGGGGTAATAGTCAGAACTGGAGCTGCCTACTGTGACTCTTGTCTCAGCTCTTCTCGTTCTTTGACATTTCTTATCTCTCTTTAGGCTAAAGCACCTGCTAAGATGCTCCATTTGCGAAGTCCACACATGCTGCAGATGCTGGAGAACTCCTTACGGAAGCAACTTCCTGAGTCCTTAAAGGTGACAGAGGAGCATTCTCAGGGAAAGGGGAATATTAAGTGCTTGGGCAAGAGATGGGGAAGAGACATTCACTGAGTTCAGTTCTGTGCCAGGCACTCACTTTGTGGCCTCACATTTAGTGCATGTCACCCTGAGGCAAGTGAAATGTACTGTACTTATTCATTTAGCTGAAGAGGAAGTAAAAGCTCCATTATGACCATAGGACTGCAAATCCACATGGTATTTGGGTGGAAATGTGATCATTTGAATCTAAATGATCTTGCTGTATGATGACCCAGGAATTACACTGTATAATATAGTACATTGTCCAGAGTTGCAAAGTTAAAAAACACTAAGACATTAATGTTTAATTTGTTTTCCTAAACAATCATGTTTGACAAAAGGTTAACCGCATGATTCTTTCTCAAAACTGGTAATAAATCAACTCCTGCTTTGTCAACTTCCAGACAAGTATATGTAATTTGGGATGAAACCTACTTTTAAAAGCAGATAAATAATTTGTATATGATAGTCTTCTCCATAATATATATTTACATAAGCATTGCAGAATGTATCCACGTGGCAACAAAGGCTCAAAGCACTTGAGAATGAAAGGGAGAGTCAAACAAATGCACAAGTGTGATTAAGGACAGCAGTATCTTCTCACAGCCATTTAGAGAGGCTAGAAAGCATGCAGGAAGACCCAAGCAATGCAAAGAGCCAAACTGGCTTCATTGACATTTAGTTAATCTATTCCTCAACAACAACAGAATTCACATTTCATTCAAGTATTGATGGGATATTTTCCACTGATCATATATATTTTTTAGAATTTTTAAATCACTGAAATCACATTAAATGTGTTCTTAAAGGTAATGGAATTTGGAGCCCAGGGTTCATTAGTTATGTGAGTGCTCTCTCTGCAAACATAAGGACCTGATGTGGATCACTAGCACCCATGTAAAGAGCTGCACATGGCTGTGCCTACCTATAACCCCAGTGCTGGGAGTATCGGAGACAAGAGGATCTCTGGGGTTTGCTGGTTACTACCATGCTCGAAGTTCAGTGAGATAATCTGTTTCAAGGAAATAAGGTGAGGAGTTATAGAGCAGGAGATTCATGGTCCTTCTCTAGCCTTCTGGTCTCTGTGCACACATAAGCATGCACATTTGCACACCTGCACATATGTCACACATATGCACATGCACATGTTTGGGCATGCACCCAAATAGAACTAATATTAAAATTAAAAATTGCAAATACTTGGAAATCCCCCAAGTTTCAGCATGATACAAGCACACTTCTAAATAAACCATGCTAGAGCAAATAAACCCCTTAGCAAGCAGAGTAAAGGAAATTGTAAAACTACAAAGAGAAACCAATGAATCCGGATGGGAAAAGAAAACTATCTAAGGTATGCTTCTTAGAAAAGTTTATCAATGTTGACAATGCTATAACAACACTGACCAAGAAATGGATAATATTCATATTACTATTGCTTAGAAAGAAATATGAGAAATCACTATAAATCCAATGGGCATTATAAGCGTAACAAAGATAGCCAGCATTCAACAATGTAATTACAGATTTCTCAACTTATTCTGTGAAAAGTACAAATCACCAAAGATTGTTGAAGAAGAAAATACAATCTAAATGTCCCTACATCTGAGTGCTGAGATTACATGTTTATACCACCACATGCAGAAGACAAGGTTTGTCAAACATTATTTCCTATACCTACTAAGAAAGAAAAAGCTGCATGCAATGGTACACACATGTAATCTCAGCACTCAGATGTAGGGAAACTTAAGCATATAGGCAAAATATACAATTAAGATCATTCTAAGTGATAAAAATTGAGTATTTTACAAAAATAAATAACAAAAGAATGGTATCTATTCTCACTAATCCTATTTAATGAGACATTGGTGTCCTAGCCAGTATAAAAGTCAAGAAAAAGAAATAAAAGGAATATAAATGTGGGGAGAAACAAAAGTAAAATATGGTCTGTTCTCTGAGATCATGGTCACCTCAAGCAAACAGTCCTAAGAAATCTGTAAAACAATCTTCTAGTCATAAGTGTTACAAGGTGGTAGGATTCAAGATCAACATACAAACAGGAGAAATCAATTCTGTTAACACACACAACAATAAATAACTGGAATTCAAAAATTTGAAAATCAGTATCAATTATAATAGCTCAGGAAAAAAGAGCCAAACTCCCAAAACATTAGGTAGAGATACTTGTTGACTTACATTTTCATTTGTTAATGACTCATATATCTGGGCTCTCAGAGCAACATGAAGATGACGTAGTTAGTACAATTTTTATACTCATCATGGTGATAAGGACTTTCCCTGATGCTCTGACAAATTGCATAAATATCAGTCATAGACTAAGCCACAGAAGTTTCCTGTAATCTCAATTCACTGAGCCTTCCGATGAGATGGGATAACATAGCTGTCAAAAGGGCATAGTCAGAGTCCAGGTTAGAATCTCTGATAGAACAAATTCATTGTTTTCTGGGTAAAATTGAAAAAGTTAAACAATGTCAAGTGTTAGTGTTTTGCCCAGAAAATGAGGGAACCCAGGAAGTCAGTATTTCCATTCAATATTCATTAATGCCTCAGGTGGCAGAAACAGTTGTACAGTAGCCTGAAGCATAGTCCATCTCTAAATAATGAATTCAAAATAGTTAATCTCACATGTCAGCTGTACTTCCTTCTATATATTAAATACTATGCAGCCATGAATCATGACTATGTAGATTTCTGTCTGTTGTCATTGAAATACTTTGTTGAACAGTGTATGTGGGGAAACAGTTTTTTTTTTTTTTTTCAGAGAACACCATTCAGACAGGATCAGAACAGAAAGTCCCCACAACATAACATAGTAAAAACATTGAATGTACAGAACAAAGAGAGGGTACTGAAAGCTGCTAGAGAAAAACAATAAGTTACATATATAGGAAAATCCATCAGAATTACAGCTGACTTTTCAATGCAAACTATGAAAGCCAGAAGAGCCTGGACCAAGGTATTTCCAGTTCTAAACAACCATGGATGCCAACCCCAAATACTTTATCCAGAAAAACTACCAAGGTTGAAGGGGAAGAGAAAATTTTCCATAACACAAATAGGCTGAAAGAATTCATGTCTTCCAAACCAGCATTATGGAGAACACCTGCAGCAATACAAAGGACCAAAGAAAGGAATGAGTATGTCCAAGAGGCTACAGAAAGAAAAGAAAGGCATAACTATGGAAACACAAAATAGGACCACAAACACAAAGAAACTAAAATGACAGTACACAATACACATCTTTGAACAATAACACTAAATATCAATGGCCTCAACTCTCCTGTCAAAAGACACAGCTTGGTGCAATGGATCAAGAAAGAAAACCCATCTTTTTGTTGCCTTCAAGAAACTCACATCACCTTCAAGGATAGACACTATCTTAGGGTGAAAGGATGGAAAAAATATTACAAGAAAATGGCCCTGAGAAGCAAGTAGGTGTCACAATTATGATATCTGACAGAATAGACTTCAAACAGATTTTTTAAAATTTATACATACTAGGGAATTTTGTTGTTTATAAAACTATATGGACATATAAAGGCACGACAGAAAATGGAAATGCATAAGACAAAATTCCATAATGTGAGAGTGAATAATTGTTAATTTACTTAAATTTTCTGCATGCCTTTTATAAATATTCTCATGATTTCAAATCTACCTGCTTTTGAGCAATAAAATATAACCTGAAGATTGAACAAGATGTCCTATGAGTTACATTCCCTAATTTCATAGAAACAAACATCATTCTGGTAACAAAACAAAGCTTTTACTGTTGTTTTTTAAGGAATTGACTATACTGCTTTGTTGAAATATTTAGGTTTATGGAACTGTCTTCCACATGAACCAGGGAAACCCATTCAAGCTAAAGGCACTGGTGGACAAGTGGCCTGATTTTAGTACAGTGGTTGTACGTCCTGAGGATCAGGTAAGTTGTATATGGAATGAGTATCAGTCTGTGTTCTCAATTGCTGTATGTCTAATGTGAACCTGGAAAAATGCAGGTTCCAGAGAGGCAGAAGTGAATCCTAGTGATGCCAACTGGTCCCTATCCTGGAGGAAAACAAGAGAAGCAGATGGATCTCAAATTGGAAAATAAATAACACAGAGATAGATAAAAGAGGACGAAAATAACCTGACATGTAAAACAAAAGAATTGGATAATTAGTGGGAAGTGAATAAATGCCTGGAAAATACAACCTACAAAGATTGGATGAGAAATTAATAGAGAGGCTGAAGAGAACAATAACAAATAGAGACCGTGACAGGTGATCAATACCTCCTAACAAGCCAAAGCTCAAGATCAGATGGCGTCAAAGCTGAGGACTACCAACAGCCTTTGGCTGCACTCGTGCACAAATATTGTACATGTACAGATATTTTTCAGTAGGCTCTTGAACACATGTATTTCCCTCTGAATTTTCACCTAAGCATAATTTATCTTTCATCTCTTTCTCTCCCTTTCTAACTCTCTCCCCTCCCTCTCTAGTTAAAGTTCCCCTATTCCCTCCATTTCCCCCTTGATAATACCTGTCTCCTCTTATTGCCCCTCTCGAGCTCTTTCTTCCCCTTTATTCCCATCGTTCTTTGTATACCTTTCCACCCTCCTTTCCTGGTTAAACACACCCAGTTTCCCCATTTCTCCTTGGTAACCTCTGTCTCCTACTATCCCCCTCTTTTGGCCTCTTTCTTTCCCTTTACCTCCATGCTACCTTTCCATTTTCCTGACTCCTGTTGTTACATCAAGATATATACTCACATACAAGGAGGGGGTTTGGTGCTAAGATTCACAAATAAGAGAGAACATACATTATTTGTTCTTCTTAGGCTGTTACTTCACTTACAGTTTCTAGTTCCATCAATTTATCTGCAAATTTCCTGATTTCATCTTTCTTTACTGCTGAGTAGAACTCCACTGTGTAAATGTACCACATTTTCATAATTTATTCATCAGTTGAGGGACACTTAGGTTGCTTCCATCTCTTAGCTATTGTGGAAAGAGCAGCAGCAAATATAGATGTATAAGTATCTCTGCAGTAGGATGAATTCATTGAGTATATGCCAAGGAGTGGTATAACTTAATCATATGGTAGATTCATTTTTAGTTTTTTAAGAGTTATCCATACTGCTTTCCATAGTGATTGTACGAATTTGCACTCCCACCAGCAGTGAATGAATGTTCCCTTTCCCCACATCCTTACCAGCGTTTGGTGTCATTTATTCTCTTGATTTTAGCCAGTCTGACTTGGATAAGATTAAACCAGTTTTGATTTGCATTTCTCTAATTACTCAGAATGTTAAACATTTTTTAAAGGGCTTCTTGGCCATTTTTATTTCTTCTTTTGAGCACTCTGTTCAGATCCATAGCCCATCTTTTAATTGGGTCAATTTTTTCCTTGATTCCTTGTTTTTATAGTTCTTTGTATATTCTGGATATTAATCTTCTATCAGATGTGTAGCTGGTGAAGACCCAAACTTAAGTACATGCAATTTCAGCCACCTGATATTTGAAAGAGGTGCTAAGAACATTCACTGGAAGAAAGACAGCATCTTCAACAAACAGTGCTGGAAAAACTGGATCTCCACCTGTAGAAGAATGAAATTTAGACTCTTACCTATCACCCTACACAAAAGTCACTCCAAATGGATCAAAAACCTCAATGTGAAACTTGAAATTCTGAAACTGTTAGGAGAAAACATAAGCAGTACCCTACAAGATAGAGGTGCAGAAAAGGACTTTCTAAATCGGACATTTGCTGCTCAGGAATTAAACTCAACAATCGTCAAGTGGGACCTTATTAAACTAAAAAGGTTCTGCACAGCAAAAGAAGCAGCCAAGGAAGTGAAGAAGAAAGCCAGAGCGGGAGAAAATCTTCACCAGCAACACATCTAATAGTCCCTTTTAAATGTGTTAGTAAAGCTGGCTGCCAGTTCTGTTGTTGCTGAGTTGCAAGGGCAGTTTTGTGCAGTGTTGTCCAGCTGCCTGCCATAACTGCACTGCATTTGTCCTTCAGGTCCTTCTTTATCTTCTAAAAACCTCTCCTATGCTCTCATTCGTTAACCTTGAGATGATCATCTTGAAAAATAAAATGTGTTTTGATTTTTCCATAAAAACCACTAAGTTTTAAACAGTGCTTTGTGTTTTACACTTTAAAGGCATCAGGTGTTTTGTTTTTGTCTGGCTTTATTATGGATATATATAAATTCTAATAGAAGGTTAACTGTGTAAGATCTCTGTGAGTTCAAAGCCAGCCTGGTCTACATAGTGAGTTCCAGGCCAGCTGGGGCTACTGGGAGACCCTGCCTCAAAAAGACCAAATAAAATAAAATAAAATAAAATAAATAAAATAAATAAATCTTTGGACCAGGGGAGATGGCACAGTGGGTAAAATGCTTGTTGTACAAATGGGAGGAGCTGAGTTCAGATCTCCAGAACCTACATAAAGCTGGATACCTCCCTGCATGTCTAAAGTCCCAGCACTGTTATAGAAAGAGTGTAATGAAATACTTATAAATATTGAAATAACTTGATGTAATAAATTTATTGATTCCACGTTGCCCAACCAAATAGGAGATGGCCGATGACCTTGATACCTACACCAATACCTACCAAATCTATTCTAAGGATCCTAAGAACTGTCAGGAATTCCTTGGCACATCAGACGTCATCAACTGGAAACAGCATTTCCAGATCCAAAGTAAGGAAGTAGAATGTTGCTGGCTGCTGGGATCCCCTGGGTCTACCTCCTCCTTAGGATTACTCCCACCCTGAGCACATTACCCTACACCCTTCATCTCTCTCCACACACCTCAGAATCTTGACCTAACATTCATTCCTTGTTTTTGACTGCCACCACCTATTTAGTTGAGTAAGTTTCAAATATTGCAGACTATGGAGTTGATGAGATGTAAGAGCAGTGAGCAAGGTAATTTCTTGTTAACTGAAGGTTCACAATGTATTCTGAAGACATAATCAGGAGTCCTCAGGACAACTAGATGGGAGACAGTGCTTGCCCTCTGACCTTTGGTTCTTAGAATAAGAATGGCAGATTAGCCAGGCACAGTGGCGCATGCCTTTCATTCCAGCACTTGGAAGGCAGAGGCAGGCAGATTTCTGTGAATTCAAAGCCAGCCTGGTCTACATAGTGAGTTCCAGGCCAGCTGGGGCTACTGGGAGACCCTGTCTCAAAAAGACAATAAATAAATAAATAAATAAATAAATAAATAAATGGCAGATTATGAGCTCATACCTGTAATCTGAGCACTCAGGAGACTGGGAGTTCAAGGCCAGCCTGAATTATATAGTGTGTTTGAGGCCAATTTGAATCACAGAGTGACTCAGCAAGACCCTATCTTGTAGAAGCGACAGGCAGTGGGGGGGCAGGGCCAGCGGGGGGGCGGGAGGAAAGGGAGAGGAGAAGGAATGGAAGGAAGAAGGAAGGAAGGAAGGAAGGAAGGAAGGAAGGAAGGAAGGAAGGAAGGAAGGAAGGAAGATAGCAAAGGGGTGAGGAGAGGAGAGAAAGGGAAAGGGAAGAAGCATGATAGGAGGTTGGGTGATATACATTGATCTGCCCTATTTCTGCTTATCTGCCAGTTTATAGTGTGTGTGAGAGAGACACAGAGCCACAGAGCACCTGCCAGGTCACAAAGGATCCATCTGATGTGGTTTAGAACATGCCTTTTGGAGTTACAGCCACAGTGTACATCCTGGCTCTGCCTCCACTTTGTGATTCTATTTAAAAGAAAAATTATTATTTTAATTTATATGTATGAATATATTGCCTGCATGTATGTGAGTGCAACTGTATTGTGCAATGCCCACAGAGGTCAGAAAAGGGGTTCCCTGGAACTGGAGGTAGGATGGTTGATAGCTGTCATGTGGGTGCTAGGAACCAAACCCAGATCCTCTACAAGAGCAGCCAGTGCTCTTAACTGCTAAGCCATTTCCCCAGCCCTGTGATTCTTGAGCAAGTAAATTATCTATTACTCAGTTTCCTCATATGTAAAGATGAAGAGAATATAAGAATCTCAAACATAGTATCAATGTAAGGAATAAATGAGATATAAGATCAATGCCTGACTATATCATATGCTCAAGCAAGATTGGCTGTTACTTCAATATATTTCTTCAGTTTCATAGTGTTAATAGTGAACGTTTCTAATACTGTAGTGTGCATAAGAGAAGGCATGCTCAGGGTGACCTGGACACTCAGTGAGGGGTCACATAGATGCAAGCGTGTCTGGTTGTCTGACTCTGAAGTCCTACATACTTCCATTGAGCCACTTCTTTGAGCTTCTACACCAACAGTTATTTCTTTCCTACTTTCCTCTTGTAGGCACGCAGTCCAGCCTGAATGAAGTGATACAGGGCCTTTCAGTTCCTAAATTGGTCAAGGTCAAGAGAACACAACGCATTCTCTACATGATGCCTCAGACAGCAAAGAAACTGGTCCCTTTCCTAATGCCAGATGCTGAGAGCTTACATTGTCAACCTGGCAGACCCCGGGGCATGTGAGTTTGATGGAAGATGCTCTGAACCACTCACTCAGATCTTTCATGAAAGGAATTCTCTAATTTCTCTCCCTACACAGTCCATTTCCAGAGTGATCCTTTTCAAAATATAATGGAGATTATGTGATACATCTGCTTAAATGCCATACATAATTCTTTTTCTAAATTTTTTTTCAATTTTTTGTGTGTATATATGTGTGTTGATGTAGATGTGTGTTGATTGTGTGTCCTCCAATGCCATCCACTTTGTGGTTTGTTTGTTGAGACCTGGTTTCTCATTAGCCTGGGATTTGCCTGATTAGACAAGGCTGGCTGGCCAGGCCCACGGATTCACCAGCTTTCAACTCCCCACTGCTGTGATTACAAGCTTGTGGCTCTGCTTAGCTTCATTTTTTCACATGGTCTCTGGGGACCAGACTGAGGTCCTCATGCCTGCATTGGATAGTAAGCACTTCACCAACTGAACTGTCCCCCGGCTTGCCACCAATAACTCCGAGCTCATTTTGAATGAAATGCAAACTCTCTGTGGCTCCCATTGGACCTTCACGCATCACTTCTTGGACATCATCTTGTCCCTCTGGCTCTGTCCCACCAGCAGCTCTGGGCTTCTTTCTGCTACTTGATTCTCACACACTCACACATGCCACTGAGCCATTGCATTTGCTTTTGGCCTGCCTGAAACGTCCTTCCTTCTGATCTGCACCTGTTTCCCTGTTTTGCTATTGCTGCCATCAAATTTCATTTCCTCTGAGAATGTTTTCTGTATATTTCATCTAAAACCACTCACATAATTATTATTTTTTTTCACTGTACCTTTCGTTAGCTGAAAATGGCTTATTTTGTATATAGTTGTGTACCTTTTTGTTACTAGAAGCCTCCCCACAGTAGTTACAATTTCTTAAGAGCTGGAATCCTGAGCCAGCAAGCTGTCTCAGAGGGTAAAAACACTTGCTGCCACTGATGACCAGAGTTTGATTCTTGAGACTCACGTGGTGGAAGGAGAGAGCCAACTTTCCCAGAGATGTTATCCTCTGACGTCCACACACGCTGTGGTTTATATGCCCCCCAAATAATTAATTTTTTCTTTTGAAAAAAATAACAAGAATTTTCTCTATATCACTCAGAGAGAGATCCACAATAGGCAGAACAGTGTCTGGCACATAGTAGGCTCTGCTCTCAATAAATCTATGTTTAATCAATTCATATCACAGAGGAAATATTTTCCAACAAAATACATTTAGCAAATTATATATTTTCCTCAACTGATTTTCAGGGCAGCACTGAAAACTGAGTGGAAATTTCATGCAGAGATGTTCAATCCCATGGCCCTCTCTGGTTTCAATGTGCTTGGAAGAATTTTGCTCATCCTGTGACATTACCACTCAGAAAGCATCTCCTCATCCAGAATAGTACTTGCTCACCATGAGGATGGGGAAGGATGCAACTGTGATTAGAATCTAGATCCTCTGGTTTTACCTCTTGAGAAGAGTCTTTGCCTTTCAGCAGACGTCTTTATACTAGTGTCCATAACAGGAGCTGTCTACTATTGACCTTTTGAACTTCAGCTTTCCCTTGTATTCAACATGATGGCCAACGACACTCAGATACCAACATTCAAGAGTCCAGAATTTGGGGGATGGGGAGATGGCTCAGTTGGTAAAGTAGTCTATTCTGTAAGCAGGAGGACTAGCACCCACACCAAAAGCTAGATGTGGTGGCATGCCTCTGAGCCCAGGACTGAGAAATGTGAGACAAGAGGATCCCTGGGGCTCACTGGCCATCTAGCCTTGCTAAGTAGCTGAGCTCCAGGTTTGTGAGCAGCTCCATCTCAATAAATAAAGTTGAAGAATATTAAGAAAGTCACCTGGCATTAACTTCTGGACTACACACACACACACACACACACACACACACACACTCACACTCACACTCACACGTGCACTGCCATGATTTTAAAGTCTTGCTTTATGGCTTCCTACCATGTACTTTTGATTACTTAGTTATTCTTCATTTATCCATTTATCTTATTTGTTACATGAGAATGATGTCAGCTGTTCCATATGAGGGAGGTCTCAGCAATTTGAAAAGAACCCACTGAGTTTTGTTGGGGAGGGGGACAAATATTTCACACCATGAATGATATTTAGGGCTATTCTTTTTCCTTTTCCTCAACAGCAACCAAGAGATGTTCAAACTGTCATCACTGAATGTTATTCACGCTGCCTTAGTGGATAAATTTTGGCAATTTGGTGGCAATGTTAGGAGCCAGAGATACATCGAACGCTGTATTCAGATCTTTCCCAGCTCTTGTCTTCTAGGACCTGATGGTACACCCGTGTCCTGGGCCCTCATGGACCAGACTGGAGAGATGCGAATGGCAGGCACTGTGCCTGATTACCGGGCACAAGGCCTCATCTCCCATGTCATTTATACTCAGACTCTGGCTATGGATGAGCTTGGCTACCCTGTGTATAATCATGCAGACAGAGCCAATAAAATCATACAGAAAATGAGTCACACTCTGCAACATGTCCCCATGCCTTGTGACTGGAACCAGTGGAACTGTGAGCCTCTGTAACTATGGTGCTGAACACAAGGCTTTGGTAGGTGGAATGTGATGGGGCTGGAGGAGTGGATAGTGGAAAGAGAGAGAGGACAGATTGTAAGGAGCAGTAAAGGAATGGGCACTGTCGGGGCTCTGGGAAAGCAGAGTGAATGGTTAATGGTACTCTATGGTCTCTGTACCCATCTTACCCCTAAGACCCAGCAGACCTGATAGGACCAGACTGCTCCACTCTGGACATTGGCCTTATTCAATCTTCTATACCCTGGACATCAGTGACACTTTTTTTCAGCCTCATGTTACCCTTGTGAGCATTATTTCCCAGAATCATACTTACCAGTTTGCCAAGATGTGGTGCTACATTGTAAACTATGTGTGCTTTTCCCTTTCCTTTATTTAGTAGCCACAGTGTGTCCCATCTATTCAGCAGGTACTTTGAAATGATTGCTTCACTTGTTGTTTGATCTGTGTTTATTAACCATGTTAAATATTGCACAAATAAATATATGATAGTGATTGAACATGGTATCTGGAAGTCTCATTGTTTTTAAATATTACTATTTATTTATTCCATGGACGCACAACATCAAACTTGTGTTATATTTAATGGAACAGAAGAGAGAAATTTCTCGAAAGGAAGACAAGATGTTTTTTTCCCCTGGAAGCACTCCCTATTCAGTCAGAGAGCTCTGTACATAAAATCCAAGTTAGATTGACAAGTGATAACATATTGGGATATCAAAATGATTAAGATTCTTCCTGGAGGTATTGGGGTTGCTTCCTGGATTGTGCATTTGAGGTGAGTCTGGAAAGGATCATCGTGGAACAAAAAGGGAATTACCCAAGATGCGGTAGAAGACAGAGCAATCTGATGTGAGGGGATAAAACACTTTGTCTTGAGTTCAGATCTCTGGGGATTCTTTGGAAAGAAGGCAGCAGTAGGGAGGACAGGCTCAGTTTTGAACCCACAGGCTTCTTGTGGGTGTGAAGGGAGGATGGAGAGGAAAATAGAAACAGAAAAGCACTCTTGGAGGCATGATAGACAGAGACTAGGCTGATCAAACAAGAGACTATTCTTCAAATATGGCAGAGGGTCAAGTAATCCTTCAAATCAATTCCTCTCTTTTAGCCTGTGAGAGTTTAAGTTTCTATCAAACAACTCAGCTCGTGGAAGACTTATTTTTAAAGTAAATTGTACTACATATGTTTAATGTAAACAGCAGGAGGCGCTTGGAATGCATATACATAGCAAAAAGGTTTCAACAGTGAAATAAATTCACAGGTTCATCATCTCAAGCATTTACCAGTTTCTGATTTGACGTTCAGAGCAGCTAAAATCTCATCTAGTATGAATCTCTATAGAGTACAATTTTGTTATGCTCCTCGTGTTGCACAGTACATCTCTTGATTTTGTCATTCACAGGTCTGGTATTTTTTAAGCCTCTGATACACGTATTCTGACTTCATCCTGCAGGTTAGTTTTTGTTAACTTGATATAAACTAGAGTCACCTGGGAAGAGGGAACCTCAAATGAAGAATTTCCAGATCAGATTGGCCTATAGCCAGAGCAGTGAGATATTTTTACAATTTCTAATTCATACAGGAATTGCTAATTGACACAGGAATGGCCAGTCCACTGTGGGTGGTGGCACCCCTTGGCATTTGACCCTGGGCTGTATAAGAAAGGTAGCTGAACAAGCCAGGGGAAGCAAGCCAGTAAGTAGCATTCCTCCATGGACTCTGCTTCAGTTTCTCTTTCAAGCTTCTGCCTTGAGTTCCTGCCTATACATCTTCAAAGATGGACTGTAATTTAGAAGATGAAATAAACCCTTTCCTTCCCCAAGTTGTTTTTAGTCATGATGTTTATTTATCACAGCAACAGAAAGTAAACTAGAACACCCCTACCCCTATATTTTAAGAATTGTTTTGAGATCCATATATAAGTGAACTTAACAATGTTTTTTGTCTGTCTAGCTTATTTCACTTAGTATATCATCCAAGTCCATTTACCTTATAGAAAATGGCAGGATCATGTTCTTTTAAAGGGCTAATAATGCATTATATGAAATATAAAT